CTCTCAACTTAGCTACATGGGAGGCCATATCATATTAGTAAGGAAAGCATCCAGTTTTAACCACAGATACAATTTATGTGGAGCTCATTACGGTTCAGCATTCGTACTTTTCCTCTTCCATTTTGTGGGCTGTATTGCGGCTCGGAAATTAGTCTTACTTTGGTAAGTCATTATAAAGCATGTTCATTTCAGTCAATAGTGTATACGTAGATTTGAATTTATGTAGTAAGACAATGTTCTTATGTTTGAAAGAGTAAACTGTGTATTACGTCACCGATACCAAATAAGGCCAATACCAAAGAACTAGGATTTATTGGTCTTCGGCTCCAGGGCATAGTTTGATTTATTGTGTGTAACCTAATCCATAACCAAGGCGTTCTTACATTGTTTATAATTTAAGTTTGTCATTTAAGGAACAGTTCTGCTTTTATTTCCACTGTTCTCAATTACATGTACAGAAATTATTCAGTGCAGGTTGACTTGTCAGCGCAAATAAAATAAATACAGATCCCTTGTCAACTTAGTAATTGAGAATTCTAGCATGCATCATCTATATGGTAAGATTGGTAATAGACTTTATTGACATAATAAATATGATAGCAATGGTGATATTAATTTTCATTCTGTTAACTACTGTAATGAAAGATGTTGTAACGTGAGGTTATTTGGCAGAAGGTATTACTCAAGCTGTCTAAAATTCTGCCACTGATGACTTTAGGGCTGTAACCTTCTTCTAAGCAAGTCCAAAAAATCTTGTCAATGCTGTTATAGTTTAATTATTATTGATTTTTCTGCTAGGCATGATGATGGATGGGTAATGGCCCTTCAATGTGCTGCAATAAAATGGTCCAATACTCATTTTCCTAGGAAGGTGAATGATGCTCCTGCAATAAATAAATCAACCAAAGATTACTACTTGCTGTTTAAATAATAAACAAAGGATTAACCTTCATTAAGCAAAAACACACAGATGGATTAGTAAAGAGCAAAGACAAGATAAGCAATCCTGTGATTGACAAACTGGAATCCATTATTACACAAGATCTGTAATTGCTAAAAGTCTCGAGAATCGTATGACAGCAGGATTTGCACCAAAGTTAAAATAGGATTGAATAATACTCAATAATAGGATTGAATTTAATGTACTACGATTTTATTTTTCAAAAATTAAAGTGTGCTGTGAAAAAAAGTAAGGAAATGGAATACGAATAGTATCGGCAGAGGCACCGTGGGCCAAATAGCCTCTTTGTGTGCTGTAAGTATTTTATGATTGCGTGAAAACCGAGGTTTATGAGGTAGTCTACTTGATGTACAGGTTACGATAAATCCATTACTTAAAATTATATTCGCAGGCTATTTAACTCTGTGATGCAACACTCCTGAACATATTTTTTATCCTTACCAACCATACATACATTTAAATGTTGTAAACGCACGTGGACATTGCCAACTGCAATTTTTTGCGTTTGCCTTTTAAGATGTCTATTCAAGCGTTCAGCTTTCTCTTCTCTCTCTGCCTTGATTTATTTCAATAGAATGTTTAGCGGCACTCTTATCAAGTCAAAGTAAGGCTAATGGATGAGGTAATCTTCAAAATACCTCTTTCTTGTAATAATTAGCTTCTGATTATTATTCTTATTAATAAGTAATTACTTTTCAGAGAGCACCTTTCAAGTTGGGAGGATGACTCAAAGCGTTTCACTGGATAAACTGTAAAGTGAAGTGACTGTGTATTTTGCAGGCAATGGTAGTTTTGTTTTCAAGAGACAAGATTCTATGATATAATATGCTTCTTTGGAGGAGGTTTATTCAATAGAATGCAATCATCGTGAATGAGTTAGAGGAAAGCAGAATTTTACATCAGGCACATCGAAGAGACCTACAATGAAGGGTGATTCTTCAACGCATAAACCTTTGCGTGTCACCTCAATCAGCTTCTCAAACACGAGTCTTGATGTAAAGTTACGCATGATTGCATTTGGCCTGTGCAGCCACGATCAATTGATCCATAAGTAATAAATTATTATTTTAAAATCTTTAAACCTCTTAAACAGTTACACTACCCATGAGGGCCATTTGCGGTATAGCGTGTTACATAAATGTTGACAGGTGCCACGGAAGAGGAATTCCCTAATTACAATGGCAAGCCATTTCAGCCCTGACCTCTGGACAATCACCCTTGACCCTTTAACAAGTGGCAAAACTGACCATTCCTCCAAATCATTTGTACATTTATGGTTGCTATATGTCAGCAATGTACTGACATGACAGGTCAGTCCGCTTGGCCTCAAAATTCCCTTACGTAAATGTGTCTCAAGAGATAGCAGAAACACGTTGTCCAAGTTATAAGATTGCCGATACTGAAACATACTGTGGCCCATTCTCTTTTGAACAGAAAATAACTGCGCTTGTGTTCTTCAGCTGCATTTACTGCCTCTGCAAAAACATTTGCACGTGGCTTGAAACAGTCTGATTGGTATTAAAGCTCCTCAAAATTCTGCTTTCCTCAAGAGCTTCGCAGCAATAATATTTCTATTATCATTATCCTGTATTGAAATATCTCACGAATGGAACATCAAATGTAACGGGGAGCTGGGGGCGGGGGCTTACAAGATATATCAAACATCTGGTGACGCTAGTTACAATGTGGTATGAAGAGGAATTACTGCCGCATATTTTTGTTGAATCATCAGAGGTCAGTCTGACAAAATTTGACTTATTCTCATTGGCGATAACTGTTGAGATGACACGTTCGAGGTTGTAAAGTGCGGAAAGGCGTAGATAACAGTGAGCAGGCTTTACTTCTACAAAAACAATACGGTGATTGAAAGTTGGCGAGCCCCATGACGAGGTTGGGAATTCTCCCCCGCTGCGGCACAATTACAGCCAAGTCACTGTGACATGAGAGGTGGGAGCGGAGATGCACGTTTGCCCATCAGGGCTGGTTACTGCTGACAAGTTCACAGTCAGCACTGCCCCGACGGTGGCACTGATCCAAACCGACATTCTTGTTTTAATTGACCTCCTGGTGGGCTGACAAATGGAGTGCGCGTGTGCCCGGTGTGGCGGTGCTGCACCGACTGCCGTGGGCGGTGGCATAACGACGGCAGATTGCACGGACTAAGGCGCTGCTGCTGTTGGGGTCACACACTGCGGTGTGCGGGACGTTGGCAGCGGGACACCGGATAATAATAATAATAATCATAATAATAATCCTGGCAGTTGGTAGAGCGCCTCATCACGTGGGTGAGACGTCCCAAAGCGCTTCACACGATACACTGTGAAGTGGAGCCACTTGTGTATACTTTGCGGCAGCCAATTGCACACAGCAGTGCCCCCCAAACACTCCTCGATCGGGTGAGTGAGTGAGTGAGTGAATGGGTGATGTCGGGGTATCACACTGACTGGGGGTGATGTTGAGATGTTGGGGGGTGAGGGGAGGGGACGGGGACGCTCGACGCTCGTTGGCGCTTCCGTTGGTTTAAACCGCTCTCGGGCCCCTGAGGTTAGGGCTGGTCAGGGAGACCCCCCCCCAACCCCCGAGGGGGGAGCGCTGGTCAGGGAGACCCCCCCCCACCCCCCGAGGGGGGAGCGCTGGTCAGGGAGACCCCCCCCCACCCCCCGAGGGGGGAGCGCTGGTCAGGGAGACCCCCCACCACCCCCCGAGGGGGGAGCGCTGGTCAGGGAGACCCCCCCCACCCCCCGAGGGGGGAGCGCTGGTCAGGGAGACCCCCCCCACCCCCGAGGGGGGAGCGCTGGTCAGGGAGACCCCCCCACCCCCGAGGGGGGAGCGCTGGTCAGGGAGACCCCCCCCCACCCCCCGAGGGGGGAGCGCTGGTCAGGGAGACCCCCCACCACCCCCCGAGTGGGGAGCGCTGGTCAGGGAGACCCCCCCTGAGTGGTAGTGCTGGGGGAGAGACGGGGCGGGGCTGGGGGTGAGGGGGCGGGGCTGGGAGAGGGGGCGGGGCTAGGGGTGAGGGGGCGGGGCTGGGAGAGGGGGCGGGGCTGGGTGAGGGGCGGGGCTGGGAGAGGGGGCGGGTCGGTCTTACCCTCGCGCGACTTCCGGCGCTTTCAAACCCGCCGCGTGAGCTTCCCAACCGCCAACGTCCAACCGTCACCCCCGGCCCGTCCCCCCCACACACACCCCACTGCCCCTGACACACACCCCACTGCCCCCCACACACACCCCACTCACCCCACTGCCCCCCACACCACACCCCACACACCCACTGCCCCCCCACACCCCACTGCCCCCCACACCACACCCCACACACCCCACTGCCCCCCACACCCCACTGCCCCCACACCACACCCCACACACCCCACTGCCCCCCCACACCCCACTGCCCCCCACACCACATCCCACACACCCCACTGCCCCCCCACACCCCACTGCCCCCCCACACCACACCCCACACACCCCACTGCCCCCCCACACCCCACTGCCCCCCCACACACACCCCACTGCCCCCCTCACACCCCACTGCCACCCACACACCACTGCCCCCCACACACACCCCACTGCCCCTGACCCACACCCCACTGCCCCCCCACACACACCCCACTGCCCCCCCACACACACCCCACTGCCCCCCCACACCCCACTGCCCCTCACACACACCCCACTGCCCCCCACACCCTACTGCCCCCCACACCCCACTGCCCCCCCACACCCTACTGCCCCTACCTCCACGCACCCCATTAACCCCCCCCCCCACCCCATCAGCAGCCCTGACCCAGATAAACCTGAGGGCAAAGCCACCGGGTTATACCCCCTAACAGGGCAGCCGCCCAATCGCCACCCGGTCGGGCTTTCACCCACATTAATAATAATTAATAATAAATCCTCGCACTCGACACGGCGCCTCGTCACGTCGCGGGTTGCGCTGCGTTAAAAAAAAAAGTGTAGTGACTGTGCGTTTGGCGGGCCAGGGCGCCCCCCCGCAAGCCGCGAGCGTCGGCTTTTGTCTTGAAGCGGCAGCGATCGGGGGGGGGGGGGGGGGGTGTGGAAAACCGTCCCGTCCGGCTAAGGCGCGCGCGGGGATTGTGCCGCTCCCGGCGGCGGGGATCAGGAGGGAGACATGGCGTTCAGCACTTCCGGCCAGAGCTTCGTCCCGATTTCCGACCTTCACCCGAACTCGGCCCGGCCCGTAGGTGTCGAGGGGAGCGCGCGAGCCGGGGGGGGCCGCTGGGAACGGGTCGGGATGAGGGTTCATCTGAGGAAAGAGCCTCAAGATGCCGTCTCCGATTGTGCTCAGACGAATATAATTTTAAACCGCGCCTTATCACGTCCGCCGGACGCCTCAAAGCGCTTCGCGGGATATAGTGTGCAGTGAGTTGACTGTATGTATTGGTGGGCGAAACGCAGCGGCCGATGGCGCGCAGCAGCGTCCCACACAAACAGCCGTGGATTGAAGTGACCGATTTATTATTGGTTGTTTCCCCCCCCCCCGAGGGATTATTATCAGGCGAACGTGTGGAGTAAGCAAACTTGCCCAAGGTTTCTGCCGGGGAATTGACCCCGGGAGTGCTCTAACCCGCTGAGCCGCAGGACTCCACGTGTGAATCTGGATTATTTATCGGTGATTCAGATGTTTCTGGTTTTTTTTTATAAAAAAGGTGTTACATTCTTTTATTTAACTTTTGAGACTTTTCTGCGCCCAAATGACGATCGACTAATTTCAGTGCGATAGTGGACCCCAGAATTTCAGAGCTATACCTGTCACTGTGTCTTGGTACCCTGGTCACCAAGAACCTCGTATCAGATGCTGAAGTTAATTTGAATCATCACTGAGCATGTTGCACATTCAGCCTTATCCATAAATTGTGGGAGTAAGACATGAGATGCGTTTTAGCTGCAAGCCTGTTATAAATTACTTGTCTCAGTGATTTTCCTTTATGTTTAGTATATGGGGCTTCAGCAAGCGTCTCTAATAAAAGCAAACCGTTTCTCCTTTATAGTGCACTATTATTAACCATGTTCCCAACTTTTGATTACTGCTGCAGAGTTTAATATTCTTTTGATTTTATGCCATTCAGAGTGTAGCTGGAATGGTAATAGGAAAAATTGATGCCAAAGGATTTCCTGACAGAAAAAGCTGAGTATTCTCCTTTGATAAATGTGTCTTTGAAATAAAGTTTTGTAGAATCTTTTTTGTGATGATGCAAAGGCTTTCATTTTGTGTAAAGCACTTTCCTGATGTGAAAGGCGCCAGGTGTATGTAAATTGTATTTTGTGGTTGAGAACTGCTCTGTGTGTGCCAACACACCTGAAAGGGGAGTGGAAGCCGATTCAATAACAACTTTTAAGAGAGAAGTAGATGGGTATTTGGGGAGGACACGATCGCAGGGCTATGGAGAGAAAGCGGGTCTGTGGGATTGAGTTGGATTGCTCTTTTAGGAGCCGGCGCAGACGCTATGGACCATATGGCCTCTTTCTGTGCTGTGTGATTCTATGACTAGTTGTTCAGAGCAAAAAGGTCTCAAGTGTTCAAATCTATGCGTTTGAAATTAGGAATCCCAAACCCATTTTCAGCAGCTTAAAATTGAATTCAAGACATTATAGTGAAGAGAACAGTGAAGTAATGATGTTCTTGTTAACAGGATAACATGCTTTGTAAATAGGATGTGATGTTCTTGCAAAATTCAATAGTAGAAAATCAATACAGCCACCAACATTTATGTTTATTAATTTGACAGGTTGTCTAATTTGGACATATGGGAACCTTTCTGTCGTGATTAATTTAAATCTCAATTTCTATTGGATGCTTGGTGTATTGCTAGATCTAACATTAGTTGCCATTATAATCAGTGGGTCTAGGATTTTTTTTTACTTTCCGCAGAAACCACATTTTTGGAACACTTTTATAAATTAAAATTCCAGCTTTAGAGTGGTCTATGTGAACCTAAGTTATTGTCAAAATCAAATTTAAGAAGGATGCCTTCAAAGAAATTCTTATCCTTAAATATTCATCCCCAAACTTTACATCTCTTTCTGAAGATGGAATAACATAGTAAGTCATCAGATTGTTTATTACCTCTAGTTTTAGACCGCTGAGAGAGATGTGATGGAACTAGGTTATTTTTGCTGTTGGAAAAATATTTTTCATATTATTATTTTTGGAAATCTCAAATGTATTTCCAGTAATTCCCTAACTCACAGCAATACTCTACTTGTATTTGTCAGATATGGTTCTGAATGTCACACTCAACAAAACCAGATGTGAGAATATAAGACTTCATCCCTTGGAGCAGTTGATCTACTGAATCTTTAATTGGGCCACATCATTAGGGCCGAGTAAAGGAACCTTGCAGTCAGTGTAGAAGTTCATATTTATGAGAATGATTTTGACAATTTCTACAAGGTATAAGGCTTCAGTCTGTGCAACTAACATTCTGTAAAATAAGATGGAAATGCAACATTTTGATATTTTTATTTTAATAATAATAATCCTTGAATTTGATACAGCGCCTTTCACGTCTTCTCGACGTCTCAAAGCTTCACAGAATAGCCTGTAAAATGAATTGACTGTATTTTTGTGGGCGAAACGCAGCAGCCAATTGCGTACAGCAGCGTCCCCACAAACAGTCGTGGATTGAAGTGATCAAATTATTATTGTTTTTTTTCTTGAGGGATTGTTATCAGGCGTGTGGAGTAAGGAAACTTGCCCAAGGTATCGCCCTGCCGGGAATCAAACCCAGGTCTGGCTTGCAGGGCGAGTGCTCTAACTTAGTGCACTGAGTTACAGGACTCCACATTTTAGAACTAAAATTGCACAGAACCTGTTAATGTTTTTTTAAATATTTAGATATTGGGACGGAAAGATACACTTTTACTTTCACAATAAGAGATTCTCCAAGTTGCTTCATTAATGTAGTTTCCTGGGGACGAGAGGAATACATAAGAGGATTGTCTAACAGCTTCAGGATTGGTGATTGTGGTATGTTTTTAAGTACCTACATATATGATTGTATTCTGTCAAGTTGTTTTAAAAATAATTCACAGGAAATGTTTCTTTTTCCAGATACATTGTGTAGTATGTAAATACTACAATAGGGATTGTCCAAATACATTTTCTTTTTTTAAAAAAACCCTGAAATATAACTGTTTATGCTGGATTCCCACATTTTGACCAAAGATTTTGCAAAGATCTTGATTCAAACAATTTTTTTTCTGTCCTATATATTTTTAAAAACATTTTCTCAACTAAACTTATATTAAGGAAATCCAAGGGCAATTATCTTATTTGAGAAATTTGCTATGTTACTCGTGTTACATTCAGTTCTTCACTGTGAGAACTGACAAATGATCGTCTTCTATAAAATCTTGGAGCTGCCTTATATTTCTAAAAAAGACCTTGAAAATTGGCCTTCCACATTTTGTCACTTTCTCTTCAAATCCAGCTTTACCTTTATGTTACTCTGATAGAAAACCCGTAAAACGTCTGTATTATTACTGATATACTGATAAATAATTTCTTTGAAAATCTATTCTATTAGTCGTAATTGAAAATCCACTTGTGCAGCCTAAAGATTCAGAGAAAGAAGAAAGATTCAGTCCATCCACTTCAAGGTACATGAGGAACCTTTTATGTAACTAGATGCATTTCTGTTATAATATTTAGGTTTGGGGTTATTAGCCATAATTAGAATTTCTCAACTACTGACAATTTAATATATCTGAAATATAGCTTTAAACATTTTTGTTCAATAATATTTAGTAGAGACAATGGAAAACATACAATGAAATTATAAACATTGATCCTGTGTTGTGAACTGGAATAGCCCTGCTTAACATCACTACAAAGTGTGGGCTCCATCCCTGCTGCTGGAAATGGAACATCTGCACATAGTCACACTTCTCAGAAACATGTAAACTGAGATAATTCAAAACTAAACCTTTATATAAAAAAACAAATGAGACCAGATGAATATAGTGGGTAATTTCTCACAAGTTATGACAACTGCAGAGCAGACTTCCACTTCAGCAATACCAGTGTGTAAAAATAAATGCTTTTTCACTTTGGATTCTGTTTGAAGTTAATTGTTTTTTCTTGTTTCACTTTCAGTTCCTATAGACTTTTGGTCAGTGAGAATTTTTCAACAGTTAGATCTTGCTGCAATCCGGAGATTGAAACTAAGCTTCTCTCCTTATTGCATTTGCCTATAAAAGACCCTCAAGATTATTACTCACTGGGAGACATCGTTCATAATGGGCAAAGCCTGAATGGAAACTTTATCAATATACTGGCAGCAGTTAGATCAGTGAGTTTGTATAAATATTCCCTTGGGAACCACAACTACAATAGAAAATAGGTATTCTATAAACTTGTGATTTCTTATATTAAGCTGTATCTTAGAGACATATGTTGAATATGGTGGTGTAAAATTCTATCGAAGATTACTTTTCTGTTCAGAATACTGAATTTTCATAGATGTTTGCTTTATAATACAATCAATACAATTAGAATGAATATACAGGGGATACAAATTGAATGAATATACATTGTGGATTTTTGCTCATAATTACAAATATATTGCTTTTATTCATTTTGCTATATTAACTGAGAGATTTTAATTATTGTTTTAAGGTTGGGGAGCTGAAGTATTTTACTACCGCAGACAGAAGAAAAGGACAGAGGTGTGAAATAAAACTATTTGATGAGACTGTACCATCATTCCTTATGGTCTGGTTAGTATGTTTTTAAGTTCAGTAACTGATAACTTTATTAATGCATAAATAAATATGTGTTACACATTACGATTAGATAACAGAAGGAAACACGTGAGAAAGATTGATACAATATAATGTGGGAAAATCATACAATATATGTAGCACAGCTGATTATTACATTATTATTGATAAATGATTCATAGTGTTTGATTAATTATCAGGATATAAAAGTTAGATAAATATTGTTTGTTTCACAATCTGATAGTACCACTTCATAAGTTCTTTAAGAAATTACAATAGTTGACTTTTTTGATTTTTTTAAATACAATACCTGAGAACTAATGATAATATTTACAATTTTCATAGTTGGGATAATGAATCTATGCAACTTGCACAAACATGGATTCCAAGGGAAACAGGTATTGTATATACTAGTTGATATGAGACTATTCAACCTTTCATTTAACTAATCTTCCTAACCAGATTTTATAGGTTAGATCAAATTGTATCTGTCCATTCTACAGTGCTATTTATAGCTGATGTACGTGTAAATTACGATGGTTTTCGTAACTGCATGACTTCCACAGTGAATTCCAAAACTATCATCACAACAAATCCTGGTAAGATTTCTTGGATGTATTATTTTAACTAATGATGCTGTTTAACTGAATTGTGTATATGTTATATCATTTATTTTAAGATGAACATATTAGAAACTGATCATGACATCCTAAACAAATGCCTTATACTCTTCCTTTACATTCTAATGTATATTCTATATGTATTCAATTGAGGTATCAGTTTGGCTCAGAAGACAGCCCTCTTGTCTCTGAGTCAGAAGGTTGTGGCTTCAGGTCCCATGCGGGGATTGAACTTACATATTGAACTCATTTTGAATCGACAATCGTCCAAATAAAACTGGTTGTTCACTTCATAGCTGTTTGGGCACGTTGTTGTACACAAATTAGCTGCTAAATTTGCCTGCAAAAAAATACAGTCACTACGGTATACAATAAATCCTGGGAAGCTCTTTTAAGACATCCTCCTGATGCGAAAAGTTCTGTATCAAATGCAAAGATTATTACTATTAATAATAATTACTTTTTAAAATAACTTGAAAGATTGACAAATCTATCTTCACCATTTAAACTATGATCAAATCATACACAGGTGCAGACTAATTCTGTTGCAATAAGTTCACTATCCAACCTGTAAGATATTTACTATATTTTTATCAATTAATAGTCTCCGTGATTTTATCCTCTTTCTGGGGTCTGAATGAATTATGATCACTTACTTAAGAATAGTATGATTTAATTTGCTTTAGCATAGCAGAAAAGATCCTGTAGTGTTTACAGATAAACATAATAGAACGTAACAAAACCTGTTCTTGCCAATTTGCCTTTCTATGTTGCGAATAACAAGACACAAAGGAGGCTAATCTGCTGTTCAGTTTTGCCAAAGAATATACAGAAATTGGTGGACTGGATGATGATGACCCAGAGCAAGCAAACGAAGTTATAAATTGTAAGTCTTTGATTTTTAATCTTGAAACTGCAATCAGATTTAGGTTCAGTTTATTCCCCGGCGATTTAAGTGCAACTTCTCAAGGGAGAAGGGAAGCCTGAGAGAGTTATTTTTACAATATTTACACTTAGTGTCTGAAAATTATACTTTGATTTTAAAATTGTACCTGCTTTGTATTTACCATTTACAAAAATAGGTAAATTTGAAGAAATGGCACTTCATAAAGCATAATATAACATTTTGTTTCATTATAAGCAATGAAGCGTTCCCATTTATGAGCACAACACAAGAATTACCCACATTTAGTGAATAAAGAATACCTTCTATAATAATGATAAGATGCTGGAAAGTCCAAAGAAAAGCCTATGACGCTATAGAAATATAATTAACTTTAATCTCTGGAATATATTTGTTGTGACTGTACCACCCTGAACCCATCCTTGAGTAACTCAAGTGGGAATCTTTTTCTAATATTGAAAAATGATTGTAAAGTAGAATCTGGAAAACAAAAAGTAAGGGATAAAGAATAAACTTCTGAATGTCATGCAACACAAGAGATATGCAGCATTATTAATGCCATGCTAGTAGTAAAATTAACATGGAAGAATGTTAGAAAGATGTTCGCTGACATCATATAATATCCAGAATAAATTATAGACAAATCTCATACGAGTGCAAAAGGTGATGGTCCCACGTGAATGCAGGTACCAACACTGGGAAAAAACAGAGCTGACCTACAAATATTCCTGGGGCTAATAGCACAAGATCACAAGAGCTGTTCAGATGAAGAAAGCCCTTTGACCCATTTGATCTCATTCTTTGAAAATACCAAACCTTCCACCTTCCCATTACAACATCAAACTGTTTGTTCAATGAGTCCAGTATCCTGGCCTCTACCACTCTTCCCGGTAACCAGTTCCACTTGGTGATTTCTCTTTGTGAAAAGAGGTTATGGATGCAGCAGTTTGCATGGCTATACAACTTTAGAGGAAATAATTCTAAATTTGAAGCCTATTTTATCACCTGTGTGAACAATTACTACAGTCAATGGGGAGTTGAGACCTGTAACAGCAGGATCAAATCAATTGGATGGGTTATTTTAATGGCAGGGTCGAGGTCATCTGGAGAGAATGGACTCTACCTTGAGTATGTTTAGGATTTGTGAGCTCATTCAGGAATTTAGCTGACTGTTCAACTCTCTGGTCCATTAAAGAGCACGCTTGACCACTCTCCCAAGATGATTTGGATTCTCAGATTCTGAATCTGTTTTTCAATTCTTAAAAGACTAAATGCCTTAAAAGGAAGCATCAGCAATAATTGTCTGGATTCTTCCCTCATATTATGTGGTGTACATCTTTTGTATTTTCAGTCATACAATACAGCAAAATGTAATGTAGATCATTGTCAGTTGGAATGTAGGTTTCTTCCATTTATATAAATGCACATTAAGTTATTGATTCTTTAATAGTTTGCTTTGAGGAAAGAAAGTGAATGTTGCCAACATACTTACCGGTTTTCTGTAGATGCTAGTGCGCGCGTGAATGTGAAAACCCTCGGGAATCCAGATATCATCATGGAACTGTTATATTTGCTCTCACTGCTTTTGGTTTAAAGACAAGCAGATGTGGCTGTTTGCACTCTTCACCAATGCAGGACTAACACAGCAAAATGATTGATTCCAGAGAAAACCAGATGCCAGAGATGAAATCTGTAAACCAATAGCTGAATGCTTTTTTTATATAATAGTTATTTAATTCAGTTACAATGTGAGTTACTGGGACAGTGACATGTTCCTAGTTTTTGAGATTATATATGGAGTAATGCATGTCTGTAGCTTTCATTTGTCTTCTTTAAAGACGGAACATTTTATTGTAATATTTTAGAATTTCTGATCTGGCCTTCATATATTTGTATATATTTTTCATTTTACTTTTGCAGTACATTCTATTGTGGATGTGTTCACTGTGCAGCAGATAAAAAATAAGGCCAAGGACAACGTGGGCAAGTCTGATCTGATCTATGGAATTGTTTATGCTTACATTACTTTGCTTCACATTGATTCTGATGTTTCAAAGTTAATAAGATCCAGATGGTGAGAAGGACATTTGTGCTTTATTATGCTCTTAAAAAATAAGATTCTCAAAACTTTTTTGTTTAACAAAAAATATTAGTTGCAGTGCATCTTGGTGCTATCATGATGGAAGGGCACATTATCTCTTCAATATATCATAAATATTACATAGAAATATTTTCTTTAAAAATTGGATCCTTTTAAGATGGAAACGTTGTATTAGAAGATCGTCACAAATGTAATTTTGTTGTTGATAAACCTTTGATGTTTTGGCAATCCTTCAGTCCTCCTGCCATTCCTCTTCTGAGACTCTATAGAAAGTTAACTTAATAGTTTTATGTTACTGAGATTTTTACCTCCTCAAAATTGATATGAAACTTTTATATTTGCCCGTTATTTTTCAGCAAAAAGATGACGTGTAAAATAGAAACAGTAAAACAATACAGGTAGCCACGATGGATCCTACCATTCAGCACCGGTGCTATAAGTTGTAGTGGTTACCAGTTTTTCAGTAACAATCTGTACTTCAAATGGGGAAGTGTTTGATTGCACCAAATGGTAATTTAAATGGTAACAATGCGGTATAGATAACAGGGATAGGAAGTGTAATGAAGATGGCTGTTCAGTTCTTCTATGTCATCCATTGACAAATCAAATTGTGTTATTGATGCCATTTGTTTGTGGCCTCGATAAACTTCCTCCCCTATTGAAAGAGGCTAAAGACTTGCTGTTGTAGGATGGTTGAGGAAGAAAAAAGCAGGAAATGAGATTTACAAATCGATATATTACATTTGTGCTATTTCAGATCCTTTAACCCTGGATTAGTTTTATATGTCTGAAAAACTAAAAGTGCTTTTTGAAGTCTTCAACTTTTATAATTGTATTTTTATGCTTTATGACTTTCTTTGAAAAAAATCTTAAAAATATATTAATTCTATGCATTGAAGCGCAAGGTGCAAATATATGATTGGTACATCAGGCGAGTGTACAAATACTTCCTGCCCTGACGGTTCCATGAACTCCACAAGTATCATCACCAGCTTTGATTTTTGGGTGGATCTGTCTGACCACACTGGAACCCTGCAGTCTTGCAACTTGGTAGGAAGCACAGCTGAAAAAACTCTTGGCTATACGGTAAGGATCAGCAATGGTATTTGGTAATGTTTCGAATAAAGTGATGATATAAAGTTTCTTTTGAAAGATGTTGAGATGAGCAAATGGCCTATTCCTTCGTTACACATATTCTATTATCTTCTGACATACCATTTCCAACATACCCATAAGATCTCAGATCCTTTGCTGCCCACTAGTGGCCAATCTTCTTGCAGAATTTGCCTCTGCGTTTTCCATATTTTGAATGAAATTTAATTCTTCATCATAAATAGGTGTTATTTATTTTAAGGTAAAAAAATCATTATTCATCTCTAGATATTTGTATGTTATTCCAGTACGTGGTTGGATATGAGCAGAGGGGGCAAGCAGAGTAGTATAATTGGAGATCAGAGATAAGGAGCATGTCTTAGCAAAGAGGATATTATTCAGATGTTATCTTTGTTACCTTGGATCAGTTCTCAGTAGATAGATGTTGACTGTACTAATTAATCTTTCTGTTTAGAAATAATTAATATACATTTTCAGAGATTAGATCAGCAAGAATGAACAAACAATAGAAGGGATCCCTACTGTATTTAACTAAAATGTTTAATAGTCAACCATGAATAATCTTACCATATCAACATTATTTTATGGTTTAAGATTACAGAACTGATGCTATGTATCTTGTACTGTAATTCCCAGGTTGATGAGTTTTGCAGTTTAACAGAGCAGCAGAAAACTTCATTAAAATGGAGCTTCCTTTTAGAGCGATGCAAAATCTATTTGAAGGTTTGGACTTTATTGATCATCAGCAAATGCTCCCTTCATCGCATTGAGAAAAGAACTTTTGGCAGATTTTTTAAATTCCCATCTCTCTTTTGTTTTCTATAGTTGTCCTGCAGTACAGAACTTTTTCAACAATCTGGCAATCTTACTCATGCTTTTAGTTATTTTGTTGATAATTGCAACTTTTTTTTAACATTAGAAAATACCATGGTCCAAATTGTCACTGCTGTGTTTAGTTTCCAGAGTAACACATTACTCAATGTTTTATTTTGCTTCTATCCTTTATATACAGCTGATTGCAGCAGGCAATGCAAGAAGTGGAGTGAGGGTAAATCTGCTTTCCTGTAAAGTAGCTGACCCTGAAGAGGCCAGTCAGACCTTGTCTGCCATGGGAATTTGTTGAAAAGAGCGAGAGGTGATCTTCAGGAGTTCAAAGAAGTTACCTCCAACTCTAACAAATAGAAAGTATGAACCAAGGGCCATTTAGCAGAGGGTTTATTGCACGTGTGTATGGACTGAGGCTTCCAGTTGATTCACTTTTCTTTTAGAAAAGGCCAATGATACTAAAAATTATCATATCAAACAAAAAGGTTGCAGTTGTATCCTTAAGATTTAAAATATTGAGTTTTATTTATACTCATCTCAAAGACAGGAGACAAAATAATGGAAGACATACTTCACCCCAATCTATTTTCAATGGGTTTACCCAGGCTCTGGTTCACAATGTGAAATATTCTATGCAGTCTTTCATATGCAAATTCTCAGGCCTTTGAGCAAGTCTTAATAGTTCACATTGGTTGCTTTGCGATTTCTTCCAAGTTAGTCATTTTTATGTTTTATGCTATTCTTATTGCAGTAGTTCTCGCAAATAAAGGGGATTAAGTAACAGATAAGAGCAATTTGTATATTGGTATTTTACACTCACCCCACACCTGGAACACCTGTAAACAGTCGCCCCAAATTAAATTAACTATTAACTTTGTTCTGATATGTAAACTGTTGGCAGTTACGATGCTTTGTGATGCCTTGAGATCAAATCATTATGACATCATCAAAGATGAGATGTTTTAATTAGGGATATAGACAACATACGTTTGTATTCGAAAAAGTCACTGTTGATGTAAGTAATATTCCTGTTGAGCAATTTGCCAGGTTACCATTGACTATTAATTTATTACATACATGACGTGACTGTCTGTGAAATTTCAGTTTCCTTGTGTTGATTCCTTTTTCGATGATTTTTATTTTTGAAAAGTATTGTAGTTTAAGATTACTGGATTATCTAGTCATTATACAGCCCTTAAATATCTGCTTAACTTACCTACACCATTTGAAAGCTTGGATAGTCTGCTACAGAAATCCCTCTTGTGAAACTGTCCCTAATTTACGAATGAAAATGTCATTATCAAACATCGGATAATGACCTTGACACATACTTTTCTTGAACATGGTTTTTTCAGGTGGAAATGTGTTTCAAAAAAACTTTAGCGTTGTTGATATTTTCTAAAATTCCGGACATCTAGATTCCCAAATTATATATACACTTACAGCATTCTTAAAAGCACTATTTACTAAAAAAAGGTACATAATAAAAATGCATTTTGTTTCCTAAAAAGCATGGTAACATTTATAAGCACAGCTTTTAATGAGTAACTGTAGCCAATTAAATAAATATTGGATGAAGCGTATGTCATTATTGAAAAACTGTTGTGTAATTTCTGTACTTTTCTGAATTGTCGAAATAACAAATCTGATCCCTGCAAATGTTCACATTTTCAGAATGGCAAAATAGTCATTAAGTTTTTGGTATTTGTGTAGATTGCTGTCTCTGCCAAAAGCAAAGGTTTTGTAACCCATTTTTCTGCGACTGCAGGCTGTTATGTATTTATTACGTTTTTCGAAAAGGTTTATTTGCATTAAGGGGTTTTCGCATTGCAGTTTACATTGTAAACATGTTTCTGTTTCGGAGATGCAAAAGCATTTTTTTTAAAAAAAAAATGTTTTTGCAAGCAGTAGATGATTGCGAATAGTCTGTGGCTTTGTGCTCAGTACTCGGTTTGTGTTAAACATTCTTTTTACTGTTCTGTTCAAGTTTCACAATAATAAAATTAGGTTATTTTAGATTTTCATATTATTTTGTACGTTTTAATTCTCGATCAAGCTCTGTGTTTATAGTAGTTGTGTATATTTCTTGTGCAGTAAGAAACACTTAAAGCCTTAAGATTAAAGGAATATGTTAACCCTTTTAAAGTTGGTTTGTGGTGTTTTTGTCAAAGAATACTCGCTGAGATACAATGTTAAAGTGACCAGTCTGGTCTTACAAATAAAGTTCAGTTTGTTTACAACTAACTGGATGGAACTGTCATCCCTATATTCAAAATTATTTGGATCTAGTAATCTATCTGGCCAGATGTGGATTTAGTTTGCTTTGAATTTGTGGATTTGACTTTACCTAATTCAAGACGGACGGAATTAATTTGGTGGAATTTTAGGAGTAGTGGTGCTACGATACAGCACTAGTTTAAGCACTCTGAGGCACTGCACATGTGAAGGGCGCCATATTAATGCAAGCTAACCAGCTGGTTAGTGGAACCATATTGTGGCCAGAACATTTTCGTTAATTCAATCAAGGTGTAGTTTGTAAAAATGTATGCAGAATGTATAGTAAAACAGCACGTGAATCATGTGCTCAAGTGGAAATCTGTAAGGTCTCCTTGTGAATGTAATTGGCAAACTTTATGGAACTCAATGCAACAGGATAGATTAGCTATTCCTGGTCATAAATGGTAACAATACCCACAATAATCCGGTATCCATACATAAGTAATTTGAGATTTATTAAGAAGAAATTCTACCTGGATATTGATTTACTCTTATTTGCCATTTTAATGTCCAGAATGTATTGATTTCAGCCTTAACAATGAATTCTGTTTTCTGTAGTTTCTCGAAAAAACTTACAAGAAAAACAGCTTAAAAAGAATGGCTGTTTTAAGAATTTACCAGATTCTGGATGCTCTAAATTCCTACATAAAGTAATCTAGACCCAGGTGGAATTCTCTCCATATGTGATTTGAACTGAATTAAAACTCCAAATCATTTCACAAGAGCCACACCACATACATCAAATATCATTACTTCCACAAACAACATTAAGTCAGTCTGTGGGGTATATTGAGAACTGGATCTTCCATCTGCGAGAGGCAGATAATGAGTGAAACTAACCTTTCATCTATTCGTGATGAGAATTTCATTTTTTAAACAATGATGCAACATTTATTTCAATCTCAATTAATCTCAGGATAGTTTATTTTTACTGTAAAATAGTTACAGGTCATTTAGTTGTGATGAATGTTGTCAGGCGCTAATGACTAGGTGATGCCCTCAGATTCGGGGCATTATGGAGGGTGAAAGCGGCCTTTACTATAGGTTCTAAGTCACCAAAAACAATCAATATATACATGTTGCGCCGTTCACTGAGACAATTGTGGCACAGTAATAATAATCTCGCATTTGGTACAAGGCTTTATCATGTCGGAAGGACGTCTCAAAGCGCTTCCCGGGACTTACTGAAATTAAATGACTGTATTGTGCGCAAGACGATGTCCCACAAACAGCTGTGAAACAAATGACTAATTTTAATTGGGAGAGGGATTGTTGGCCAGGACACCGGGGGAAAGAAACTGCCTTCTCTTTTCAAACAGCGCCTCGGGCGGGATCTTTAACACCCACCTGAACGGGCAAGACGGGATCTTGGTTTAACATCTCAGTTTGGAATACCCTCAACCACAAAATGACATGTGTACAGCACCTAACATGTCAGGAGGACGTCCCAAGGCGCTGGAGAGACAGAGTTATGGACCCGAGCTGAGGGTCGGGCTGGGGGAGAACGGAGGGCGGTGGAGAAAGCAGGGAGATCGAAAACACGATCCAAGAGGAGGGTCTTGAGCTGGGTCTAGTAGGTGGCGAGGGAGGGGGCGAGGCGGAGGGACTGCGGGATGGAGTTCCAGAGGGTGGGGGCAGAGTGGCAGAATGCCCGCCCCACTGGGGGGGGGCGTGAAGCAGGCTGGAATCCGCTGAGCAGAGGGAACAACCAGGGTGGTAGGGGGTTAGGAGGGCGGAGGGAGCGATGGTGATTGATGGGTTTCCACATTAGGGCAGACCCCCGGCTGACTCAACAATAATAATAATAATAATAATCCTTGCATTTTGATATTGCGCCGTCTCAAAAGCGCTTCACAGAATACACTGCAAAGGGAATTGGAAGTAATACCTTCCCACCCATAATAATAATAATAATAGTCTGGTCACACAATCCACCAATTGGGGGGGTGGGGGCTGTTGTTGTTGATGCCCTGATGGTCTGGCTGCTGCTGCTGTTGTTGTTGTTGCTGCTGCTGTTGTTGTTGTTGCTGTTGTTGCTGCTGTTGTTGTTGCTGCTGTTGTTGTTGCTGTTACTGTTGTTGCTGTTGTTACTGTCGTTGCTGCTGTTGTTGTTGCTGTTGTTGTTGTTGCTGCTGTTGTTGTTGTTGCTGCTGTTGTTGTTGTTGCTGTTACTGTTGTTGCTGTTACTGTTGTTGCTGTTGTTACTGTCGTTGCTGCTGTTGTTGTTGCTGTTGTTGTTGCTGCTGTTGTTGTTGTTGCTGCTGTTGTTGTTGT